AAACACTCGTGGAGAAGCATAGGCCGCACACCAGAATTCTCCATCCAACTCTGTCCTGGGCAATCCTTTTCAGTTGACATTCATCCTTTTCATATCTGCTTCTATTTCCCGACGTAATGTGTTCTTTGGCCTTCTTCATTTCCGCTTCCCTTCCGGATTCCAAGTTAGGGATTGCCTCGTGATGCAGTTTGATATTTGTATACACATTGGATTAAATTGCTTTATTTTGTATATTATTATTGTTATTATTGTTAATGGCTTAAACGTATTCATTGTTTAAATCTTGGAACAATTTATCTCAAATCAATGAGAAAGCCACGGATATCAGCAGTCAGCTGATAACAAGAAAATCAAACTGGTTTGTACAGTCAGTGAGCCAGTCATACGCAATATACAATCCGGAGGACATTTACATCTGCTTTTTGCCTGATTGGTTTATTTTTTGTACTTTTGTAATGCAGATATTATGATAAATTCAACGGATGACTAAAATTTCACTGAAACGGAAGAGACGATGTAGTTATTCAAGGTTTCCACTTTTAATAGGAGACCGATTGCATTTTGTGATTCGAAAGGAGAAATGGTTCACTTGAGCATCAACTTCTTTTTATGTTTCATAGTATCAAATAAGAATACTCACCTTATTCAATAGTTGGAGAGTTTAGTTAAGTGACATGCTTTCCAGACATAGTACAGTGAACACAGAACACGAGTGGGGACAATCGATTGTATTTAAGCACAAGATTACAGACTATCTCACTAAATTCTAACAACCATACAATCAACAGTTAATTTGCAAAATAACAATCAATTGTCTCTATCTTCACTGTTCTTTCTGCAAATATTAGTCCATAGTCTTTGATTATTATTGTACATTCATTTTCATACCGATTGAGCTTCGTTCCGGTTCTTTCCTTATCTATCTTCTACCAAAATACACACTATGTCTGACCATCGCCATATACTACTCATATGGATATAAGTAGACCACACTACAATAGGATGTATATCTTTGATTTGGAGTTCTTAAAATTATTATAATATCAAACTTTTGTTTGAATGTTACAGGTGCACCTAAACATCGGCTGATATTCAGAATATATAACTACATTATCGTATACAATCCCTTTCGTACATTGCTATATTGACTGTATGAACCATTGCTGTCAAAAAGAATTAAATCTATACATGTATTTACAGTAGATATGCTTTATCTTTTGGAATTATAACTAGATACGATGAATACCTAAAACCACGGATAAATCTGTTAATACTCCTTAGGCAAACAAAAATAGATTCATCAGGATTAACTAATAACGGTGAAGTTGACCACATACTCAAAAGGATGAAGCATAAATATACTAATATCCAAGAACATCAAAGTACTGCTTACTTACTTACTTACTTACGCCTGTTACTCCCAATGGATCATAGGCCGCCGACCAGCTTTCTCCAACTCACTCTGTCCTGGGCCTTCTTTTCTAGTTCTATCCAGTTCTTGTTCATTCTTCTCATGTCTGTCTCTATTTCTCGGCGTAATGTGTTCTTTGGTCTTCCGCTTCTCCTTTGACCTTCAGGATTCCATGTAAGGGCTTGTCTTGTGACGCAATTTGTTTGTTTTTACCCACAGTAGGTTATTGCTGATAATGTCTGGCCATCGGATCCGAAGTATCTTGCTTAGACAACTGTTAATAAATACCTGTATCTTCTGGATGATGGCTTTCGTAGTTCGTCACGTCTCCACTCCATACAGTAGAACTGTCTTGACATTTGTATTGAAAATTGTAACCGTGGAGTTGGTTGACAATTATTTTGAGTTCCAGATGTTTTTCAGTCGTAAATATGCTGCTGTTGCTTTGCCGATCCTCGCCCTCACATCTGCATCTGATCCACCGTGTTCATCAATGATGCTGCCCAGATATGTAAAGGTTTCCACATCCTCCAAAGCTTCTCCGTCAAGTGTAATTTGATTGGTGCATATTGTATTGTATCGGAGAGTTTTGCTTTTCCCTTTGTTTATATTGAGACCTACTGCTGCTGAGGCTGCTGCTACACTGGTCGTTTTCTCCTGCATTTGTTGTTGCGTTTGTGATAGAAGAGCCAGATCATCCGCGAAGTCTAAATCGTCAAGCTGCATCCTGCCTGTCCACTGTATCCCGTGCTTTCCTCCAGACGTTGGCGTCTTCATGATCCAGTCGATCACCAGGAGAAAGAGAAAGGGTGAGAGTAAGCAACCTTGCCTAACACCGGTCTTTACTTCATACGAGTCAGTGAGTTGTCCTCCGTGGACGATTTGGCAGTTTAGTCCATCATAGGAGTTCCGTATGTTATTGACTGTTTTCTCAGGCACGCCGTAGTGTCGAAGAAGCCTCCGTAGTGTCATCCTGTCCACGCTATCAAATGCCTTCTTGTAGTCGATGAAGTTGATGTAGAGCGATGAATTCCATTCAATTGATTGTTCCACAATGATACGTAGAGTTGCGATTTGATCTGTGCACGATCTATCCTTACGAAATCCACCCTGTTCATCTCGAAGTTGGGCGTCCACGGAATCCTTCATCCTGTTTAACAATACTCTGTTGAAGACTTTTCCTGGTATTGAGAGAAGAGTGATGCTCCTGTAGTTGTCGCACTTGCTCAGATCGCCTTTCTTTGGTATCTTGATCAGAAGTCCTTTTTTCCAGTCTGTTGGTACTTGTTCTTCATCCTAAATCTTACTGAAGAGGATGTAGAGTATCTTGTCAGTTGCTGCTACATTTGATTTCAGTGCCTCTGCCGGGATGTTGTCTGGCCCCGCTGCTTTGCAGCTCTTGATTTGTCTAATGGCCATGCTAATCTCTTCAATTGTTGTGGGTCAATATCGATTGGGAGGTCTGTGGGTGCTGCTTCGATGTTGGGTGGGTTCAGTGGAGTTGGTCGATTCAAGAGTTCCTTGAAGTGTTCTACCCACCTGTTTCGTTGTTCTTCAATGTCGGTGATTACTTTGCCTTCCTCGCTTTTCACTGGTCTTTCTGGCTTACGGTAATTTCCAGCAAGTTTCTTTGTTGTATCATACAGTTGTCTCATGTTTCCCTCTCTTGCAGCCTTTTTCACTGTCGTTCCACATATTTACGTTTGTCGGTTCTGATGCTCCTCTTCACTTACTTGTTTGCCTCTGTGTATTCGGCTTGTGCCTTGGCTTTTTCCGCTCTGGTTCGGCTGATATTGATTGCTGCTTTCTTGTTCCTCCTTGCTTCAATCTTATCCAGTGTACCAACAGTGATCCATTCCTTGTGATGGTGCTTCTTTTGGCCCAGAACCTCTTGACATGTTGAAACGATTGCTTCCTTGATACCTTTTCAGTTGCTCTCCATGATAGTTCCCTCTCCATTGAGTAGATCATGAAAGGCCTGGAACCTGTTGCTGAGGGCTATGTTGAATTTGTTGAATTTGTCAGCATCTTGAAGAAAGGCCGTATTAAACTTTTGTGATGTTAAAAGTACTGCTATATGAAGTTTAAACGTAACAAGTCTTATTGAGTCCAATCATAGTCATTCTAAGAAAATGTATGAAAGACTATTAAATCTGTCCTTTGATATTTCCTCTTAGTATGAATTGGATAATGTACAACTTGGCGCTTTTAGAAGATTCATTTAATTCAGCATATTGTTCATCATAATATAGGTGAAATATGAACCAAACGTTTTGATGGAGTTTTGTTCTCTAAGCTGAATGGTTTGATCGTGGACCAAAGTAATTAAAGATTATAGGATTTATTTTATTCTACAGATAGTTCAAGTTTCACTTGCGCTACCAATGAACACCAACAACTTTGCCTTTATTCTCCATCTGACTTGAAACAAATTAAAATAAAACATTTAGTCTATTATTGTAAGCAAAATGGATAGTGGCTATCAGTGGAATCCAGGACGCGCGTTTCGTCCTATTTGGGATTCGTCAGCTGGATGTACCTGCATCTCAGAGTTGATGTTCACTCTGGGAGTAACTCGAACCCATTACCTTTCGCCTTAAACGCCATCACGTTATCCACTCGGCCACTGAATCCTGATGGCCACTTGCTTGTGCGATGGGGTGAAGTTTAAACTCACTTGGTTTTGTTTACTTGTATCTTCGAGGCAGTCCGCACAGGATGTACATATGCCAATAGGAGACTGACCAGTTGCAGTCTTAACACATCGATGGGAAGATTAAAACAAACAACATTAAGTGAATTTAGTCTATTCATTTCAAACGAATATAGTCAATTGAAAAAAACACATGGAAGCAGTCAATTATTATTGTCTAATAATATTACCAAATGAGACATAAACAACAGTTATATTTGTTTGAAATAGATACTGTTTTATTGATTGGTATTTTAAAAATATAACAAGGGTGTTAAACAAAACTGAAGGTCAAACTGTCGTATTTGCTGCTGATGTCGACAAATATAAGTAGTATATATCATCAATCGAAAGTGAAATACCTGGAGGGAGAAGGTAAGAGAAAGGAGAACAAGAACAAAATATGATTGATGTGGAAACGAAAGAGTAATGAAGTCTGAAACGATCGAATGATATTTGCAAAAGAAACAGTCAAGTTTGAGACAATTGATTAACATTTTGCAAATGAAGTATATACTGTATGGTTCTCAATTTTTAGTAAGACATTCTGTAATTTTATGCTGAAATACATTAAAACTGTTTTCATAGTTGAAGGCGTGAGTCAATTGAAGCTAGACCACCGTGGAAAACCTGTAAGCACTGGACGGCCGTTTCCCTTCATTGTGGGACTCCTCAGCAGTGCGTATCCATGACATCGCCTCGCGAGATTCAAACCCACAATAGGACGAAACTACCATCCAGTGCTTTCAGGTTTTCCATGGTGGTCTGGCTTCAATTGACTCACGCTTTCATTTATGAAAATACTAAATCTCCACATAAAACCCGTTCTGATATTAAAATTGTGATCAACTGCTGTTTTTTTCTTTTGACTTCGAATACCAAAATGTTTATTATTAGTATATCATGATAAAGAAAAAGATGAATTAACACGTCAATCTATTACACTTCGAGGTGAACGTGAATTGGCATTACGTGAAGTTTATCAAAAAGATGAACAAATAAAAGAGTTACAATATCAATTATCTAATCAAAAATCAACTGTAACTGCTATGGAGATACAATTAGATATTCTTAGAGCTAAAGTAAGTTCATAGCATGTTTTTACTTCGTACCCTCTTCAGTTGTTTTTTGATAGGTCGTTCTGACTATACTAGTGAATACTTGGTCAACAGGAAACCCTGGACCCGGGTTTTGTGCTACTTGGCACTCGTCAATTAGATGTATCTGTAATGTTGAGGGAACTGGCGCTCCCCGATGGATTTGATCCCGTGTCACCGACCTCCTGTAGGACTGAGATGTAATCACAATTGATTGATCACTGAGTGGTGGTCAATATCATGTGTTTCAAGACCTTCTTAGTGCAGATCGGATGCTATCGATCAAGTTGCAATGTACTCACTAGTCTAAGTGAGTACAGGGTTTCTTGTTGACCACATCCAACCACAATCTTATCTCAACATAGTGCACGCAGTGTTGAGTCACTTAGACTAGGGACCACGTTGCAACTGGATCGATAGCATTCGATCTACATTAAGAAGGACTTGGAACACATGACATTGATCACCACCCAGTGAACAATCAATCGTAAAATTTAATGTACTATTCTCGATGATGACAAGAAAATAAGCATCCAAAGAGAAAAATAACCCGAAGAAGTCAACTAACATCCATTTAAAGACGAAAAGCTGATGTTCATTGTGTAGTTAGATACACTCCGACGTTATTTAAAGCTAAGTCTATTGTAAATAATATATTTGTAATACCCCAATGAGTAGAAAAATTAAGTTTTTAAGTATCCTGGAGTTTCGTAATTCAGTGTAAACTGCTTCTTCAGGGAATAAATAACCAAAATAAATTAACCCAAGTTTTAATAGTGCAAAGGTTACTATGTGTTCAAGTTGTTTGAAATTAACAAGTTAAGTCTTGGTAATGACACCTACAAAGTCTCATGAGAAAGATTGTATTTGTCGTGATCCTAATGTTGGCTCTTTAGAGGGAATTTGTGTGCAGTCCTAGCTCAAACTTTCATTTGCCAGAAAATAAAATCTTCTCTAGAACGACATTCATTGAGGAGGTTATGCAGCTTTTCCAGTCAGAAAATATACTATAAAGGTTGTTTCAGTTACGACCAACCCATTGTATGAGTGAGATTTCTAGATTAATAAACACTAAAGACAGGATAACGACTGTTTTGTTACTACTCAAAACAAGCTCCTAATGTTAGATATCCCATGATACCACAATAATTACGAGTCACTACTAAGTTATCTAATAATAAACCAGAATAAGTCTTTGAAGCTACTCCATTTGTTCAGTCTTATGATCTCCTAGAAATTGAGGTCTAATTTTCTTATCTGAAAATTTAAAACTGCTCTAAGCACAAATATCACTCAAGATGGATCATGAAAAACTCCTGGGGGCTGTGTGACATATCACACTTATTATTGAAAATGATATCCGGAAATAATCTCATGGATACTCTAAAGCTTTTTGATGTACTGTCCTCTGAGCTGTAAAAAGTTGTATGAATCAAATTTCGAGCATCTTTTTTTTCGGTTTTTCAACTCAGTGATATTTCTTAGTAAATGTATTGTACACTTTTAAAGATCCAATAGGCGCCTATGTTGGTGTGTGTTACTTATACCGATAGATATAAGTAGTATGCACTAAGGTTTGGAAGTATGATTTGTACTGACAGAAGAGGAACATGAGAAGAGAAACAAAAGCAGCAGTCAGAGGAACAACAGGAATGAAAGAACGATGAAGTTTGTAGGAGACACAACAAGGAAGATGTACAAATAGTATATTTAATGTAGTGTTTTCAGATTTTAGAAATACAATGTGTGATTTTGTTGAATACAATATATTTGTTCCCCCCCCCTACCCGAGACTTCGATTATGACACTATGAAAGTGCAACAATTATTAGTGATAGGTGAATTCTTCAGCGTAGCAGACATTACTTCCATGCTGACTTTACAAAATGTGAAGATTGTCGATAACTCATAGATAAAATAATTTTGAGATGGTAGAGAAAATTTGTAGCTCATGTGGGTGATTTTGATGTAGGTTTGTTCTCTGAGCTGAATGGTTTGGTCGTGAAGCTTTCATCGTCCTTCTGAACGGCATCATCAGCACAAACTTCGGGTAGAAGTGAGATACAAACATTTCTAGCCACCACTCATCTTGGTTTATAATGCTTGTCACTTAAGGCAAGTTCTATCCGAAGTTTGTGCTGATGATGTCGTTCAGAAGGACGATGAAAGCTCCACGACCAAACCATTCTGCTCAGAGAACAAACCTACATAAAAAAAGATAAAATAATGTTTAAACATAAATTATCATAATATTTGAACGTGATATTAGTTAATTCGAAAGTAATAATTACAATATCACTGAAAGCTTCAAAGCTTCTTTGACTCAAAGGATTCCATTTCAGGAACCGCAAATTTCAATACAGCATTTCAAAGCTTTTTATCATACTCATGTACTTGGAGATGTTTTGCTTAATTTGGAGTTTCAGTTTCAGTTTGGAAAGGACAGGAGTCTTGATGGCCTGTGTTAGTCCTGGCAATGATGGTCTCTCAGCTGATCCAGCTTTCTTTTGAAACATTCGATGGATGGAGACTCAACCACATGCTGAGGTAATGAATTCCACTCGTTGATGATTCGATGAGAAACTCGGTAGGCAGCTGACAAGTAATTCGTTCTGGGCTTCTAAACTTTTTTTGGATTGTCCTCGTAAATTTTCACTGTCGTTTTTAAATTTCGCGCATGATGCATTCTATTTCAAAATTTTGAATATTTTGTTTCCTTACAAGTATAGTTACTATTTCATGATTGTTTTTTGTCTTATAATTATCAGCTTGATGATGAAACAAAACGAGCAAATGATCTAGAAAGATCTTTAATTGAAAGTCGTTCAGAATTGGTTGAATTCAATACAATATTAAGACAATTAGAAGTTCATTATCAACAAGAATTAAATCGTATACAATCAACACCACAGAATGAATTTAAGGTAGGTATTATTTATTCTACAGGTTAACGTTTGCGCGCGAAACCGATAGGTCCTGGGTTTGAATCCTGCAAGTCGGATCATGGATGTGCACTGATGAGGAGTTCCATACTAGAATGAAATGGCCGTCCAGTGCTTCCATCTTTTCCTCTACCTTTAATTGACTGATGAATTCAACTATTAAATAAATCATAATTTCAAGTTTATGTTAATTAATCTTAATTGAATTCAGCAGTTGATTTTTAAATGAAAAAATAGTGGCAAAATATTGATTTCAAAAGTACTTAATTACTTATTATTTACGCCTGTTACTCCCAATGGAGCATAGGCCGCCGAACAGCATTCTCCAACCCACTCACTTTGTCATGCGCATTCCTTTCTAGTTCTATCCAGTTTTTGTTCATTCTTCTCACGTCGGTCTCCATTCCTCGGCGTGATTGTCTTGTGACGCAGTTGGGTGATTTCCTCAAAGTTTGTTCTATCCACTTCCAACGCTTCTTCCTGATTTCTTCCTCCGCTGGATTCTGGTTTGTTGTCTCCCACAGTAGGTTGTTGCCGATAGTGTCTGGTCAACGGATCCGAAGTATCTTGCGTAGACAACTGTTAGCAAACACATGTATTTTCTGGATAATGGCTTTCGTAGTTCTCCACGTCTCCGTTCCATACAGTTGAACTGTCTTGACATGTATATTGAAAATTCTGATCTTGGTGTTGGTTGACAATCAATTATCCCAATGTGGAAAATATGTCGTAATAATGAACATCATAAACTATGTAAAAGAATTTCAGTATATTTTGTCACTTGAAATTGAATAACTTAATAAACAACAGTCTTATGTTGTCATCTAATTGTAATCTTGTGAGGACGGTCCACAGGTGAACTTTGAGGAAGCTCTAAGAAGCTCAGAAGGTGCAGAGCATATTCCATCCAATCAGCTTTTGGAAGAATATTCCAGAATCACTACGTGTAGATTCCCTATTAGACAAATGCTAATAACCCCCTGTGTGCGGATTGGATAACTATAATGATGATTTCGTTTTAACTAAAAACTAAAATACTTGACAGTTTTGTATCATAATCGACACTGTTTGTAATAATATTACTTCCACTTGTCTTCTGTTTTTTCATTTTGCGATATGGTAAAGATCTAGCGTTCGAGTGCTTAAGTTATAAGCGACATACTAAGAATCTAAGTTCAAGGTATAACAAATCTGGATGAAATCAAACAGATAGTTAAATCAGAAGGGGTTTTTGTGAAGATTTAGTATTTTCATAAATGAAAGCGTGAGTCAATTGAAGCTAGACTACCATGGGAAACCTGGAAGCACTGGATGACCGTTTCGTCCTATTATGGGACTCCTCAGTAGTGCGCATCCACGATCCCTCACTCACGAGATTCGAACCCAGGACCTACCAAACTCGCGCCAGAGCACTTAACCGATAGACCACTGAGGCGGCCGGCATCCCATGGTGTTAATGCCTAACTTCAACCAATCCACGAAGTTGAGCAACCGTTCACCAATTGTCTTCAGTGAGTTCCTATCTCACAATCAATACAATACGATTCCATCATTTAATGAAACAACATCAATTTTATGTTACTTAAATACTAATTAAGTAGTAAAATTAATTTGTATTTGTTTTTTTCTTCTTATTTTTCTATGTAGGATAAAATACGTCATCTTGAACAAAAATTAAGTGAAGCCTTTTTGAAATCAGAAAATGATCGATATATAAAAGATAAACAAACTGATAAAAATGATTTACTTTTAAAAGAAAATGTACATTTAAGTAATGAATTAGAAAAATTAAGAAAACTAGCTGAAGAAGTATGTTATATTCATTTATAAATGATTATTTAATTATCAGAAAGTGTTTTTGTGGAGATTTCACTATTTGTATAGTTGAAATCATGAGTCAATTGGAGCTAGATCACCATGGAAAACCTAGAAGCACTGGAACACTGTTTCGTCCTATAGCGGGACTACTCAGCAGTGAGAATCCACGATCCCTCACTCGCAAGATTCGATCCCAGGACCTACCAGTCTCGCGCCAGAGCACTTAACCGATTGACTTATGATTTTAACTTTGAAAAATACTGAAGTCTCCATAAAACCCCTTCTAAATATATTTATATAGGTAGTTCAGTTCACAAATATACGTACCTACATACTACTAAAATAATGAAAATCCATTCACTAATTTTATCTTTCCCTCAGTCTCAATCTTTATTTGAACGAAGTCAATTTAAACAAACAGAAGATATTGCCGAATTGAACCGATTAAAACAACGAGAAAAAGAATTAATGCATATGAATGCAATGCTTCGTCAAGACGTATTACTCAAAACTAGAGAGAATGAAAAACTTCAACAACAGGTATGTAAAAAAGGGGGGTTATTTTTCATTTATACGATAACTATTACAAATCACTCGTTAGCATTCATAATTCCACAAAGAAATAAACCCGAAAACTTCAGGTCATGAGGCCAGTATTTAACCGTCAAACTACTGAGTCACGATAACAAGGTGTAGATTTCCAACTTTAAACAATTTAGCTATATAGTACGACGATCACATCATGTCATTTGGGATGGCTGTTTCGAGATTGACACAACTGTATTTCATTGGAACTCATCTACAAACAGGCCACTAGCGAGCACAAGACGTTTTTAAGGTTTAGTGGAGGGTATTCTCATTTGTATCTCACTTTTGTCACTGATTGACTTGAACATCCTGTTTTTGATTACTAAAAAGGGTTGTAGGTGCCCACTACAAAAGCACTTTACTCTGAAACAAAGCAGATCTCTGACTTCTCATGAGAATAGAAAAGCTCTTTTTATCAAGATAAACATTTTTTATATCTTATTGGAATGTTGGGAGGGTTATCATGGTTGAAGTGCTGTTTTCACATTCAGAAGCAACTAGAATAGGCAAGAATAACAAAGAAAGATCGTTATCTAGGCTTAATTGGCTAAGAGTAAGATCTGTGTAACCTGTTGATGAAATTTGCTCAGTCATTCGAAAATTTCCGCAAATCAAATGTACAGTTGGGAAATCTTACGTCATAGATGCTCCAGCTGTAGAATACGTTTATGCAAATTAAATAACATGTTTTCATACTGATTTTATTTTTTTTTATTTGAACACATAAATATTGGCACAAAGGGGCACCAGATATATATGCGCCACACAAATCTCATTTGATTTGTGTGAGAGCTGTGATACTAACCAGGTGCCCAGACTGAAGCCGGTGGTTTTCTTAAAGGGCCACACCCGGAGCCTTTGACCGAAAGATCTGATCCACAAGGCAGTGGAGTAACGTAAGGAGATGCAGTCCCATGGTAGCCGGTGACCAACTATTGATTCATACGCCATCTGCTCCCTCAGAATACTGGAGCCCATGTACACCATTGGTTTGGAATCAGGGTTTTCCAACTCCCCTAGGTGGACGCGCCATTTCCACTTACCCGGTTAAAGCGTCGGACATTCGCTTTTCGTCTTATCAATTTCGTAAAGTACATCCCCGCCACGAGAAGGCAGTGAGTAGGACTTCCGTGGCAGAGGCTGTATATACTCGTGGCCATGTGAGAGCATTTCGAGAGGGAGAGCGGACTCTCCCCGCTCTCGGTCGTACTAGGGCATTTGGGGGTTGAATTTCCCAGAAGGTATACAAATGTTGACAACAAAGTATAGAGGGAATCATAAAGAGAAGAATCTCACTAATGAATACATCTGAACGTTTTGTAGTTTTAAACAAAAAAGACTACCATTTACATTAGTGTTTGTTTCTGGTTTTTATACATGATAATTTGCTAAGTACGTTTTATCCTAATTGCATCAGCTTGCTTACCAAGAAAAAACGTCTGATAGCTTGTTATCAGGAAAACAAATTCAACCAGATTTATCTCAACAGTTTGAAGCTTTAAAGAAGGAACGTGAAATATTTATTGAAAGTATGAACAAGATTAATGAACAGGTATGTCTCATATATGTAAAATGAATACATTCCTAGAAATTTAAAAGATGATTCAGAATATATCAGATAATTTATGCCTCATCCCTACCTATTTGGCATAGGCTGCTGCTACCCTGGTTGTCTTGACCTGCATTTGTAGGTGTATATGGGATCGGAGGGCTACGTCGTCTGTGAAGTTCAAATCGTCTAGTTGCATCTAAGCTGTCCACTTTATTCCGTGCATCCTCTCAGATGTGAAGGTCTTCATAATCCAGTAAGCCACCAGAAGAAAGAGCAGCCTTGTAGCTGTTCTGTAGCCTGTATCTCTGTTAGTGTTAGTGCCGGTCCCAATCCCGGGTAAAGGAGAGAAGTTGGGTTTAGGATCAGCATCTCCATTCCGCAGAAAACAACCAGAATAAACAAATTAGACAGCTATGCAATGGTCTCAAAATATTCTTGGTCAGTGTCAACATGCATATCCATCGTTGATGTGATATATTTGGTGTTCTCCCTTTCTAGTTGGAGCTTGAAATTAACTATCGACGACATGGATGTATTTAGGGATGAAGATCATTATGAGGAAAAGTTTACGAAGCATACATAAGGACATCGAAGCCGAGTGGTCAGAGCATTGTAACGTTTGAAGTAACAAGTTTAAGAGAGCTACTGGAAGTTGTCCTAATTTATTCAAGTTATTAGCAGGAGGAAACCATTGATACAGTGACACAACTTCAGGATTATAACGTGTTGGTTATTATTTTACAAATATGTTTCAAACGCTGGGTAGAGAAATGGCTAATCACTCCATTGAGATTATAAGACGATCTTTCTGCTTTGTTTATAACTGCCAGTTTCATCCGGTTTCTATATTCCTTTTTAAGTTTTCTGTTGTCAACATTCTAAAATCAATTTCAAATGAAGTACGTCATGACATACATGTTATCTGGACACAGACCTTTCGATCTCTAGTATCGACGATATTGAATGATAAACAGCGTATGACGAATCGAGTAAAGATGGAAAATTCGGACCACTGGTTTGCAATTCACTTCGATACCAGAAGATCGTCAGGCAGTTAAAGTCTAGGAAACCTTAACAAAAATAAAAGCCGTCCTGTGCTTTTTGTTTCTCGATGTTTCCTTAGCCTTACTCAGTCCATGATAAAAGTTATTCTAAAAAAATAGGATCGCAGGTGAATAGGTAGTGTTAGTACCAACCAGTATATATGAAGTCGACTTTCATATGAGCTGAATTGGCGCAATAATCTCAAGACAATATCGTAACGACGATTACCTTTATCTTGTAAATATTATGTAACTATAAATACAGAAAATGGTAGTATTAAGAATTCAAATCATAAAGACGTATTGTGGCGTGGTCTACTTATATCCATGTAAGTAGTATATGGTGATGGTCAGACATAGAATGTATTTTGGCAGAAGATCGATAAGGAACGAACAGGAATAGAAGCGCAATTGGTTGGAAAATGCATGAACAATGAAATCAGAGAAGACGGATTGATATTTGCAGAAGGAACAGTTAAGATATGAGACAATTGATTGTTATTTTGCAAATTAACTACTGTTCACTGTATGGTTATCAGAATTTAGTGATATAGTCTGTAATTTGTGCTTAAATACATTCAATTATCCCCACCCGCCTTCTCGTTCAATACATTTGGTGTCCCTGCCAACCTGGAGGAGGAAGGGTGCTGTTCTGAGGACACCGCTGCGGGCCTGAAGTCAAGGTGCTGGTTAGGGCAGTCTAGTGCGGAGATGTGACAGTATTACCTCATATTGTTATACATTTATTTCCATTGTATTTAAAAGCATTTAGTACGTGTAATAAAGTTCACCGAATATACATTGAGCAGCACTTACCCAGTTTAAACAACAACGATTTTGATATATAATAAGCATAATAGCATAATTAAATTTTTTCTTTATAAAAATCCTCCATTTCAGATTGCTGAACAAAAAATAAAAATTGATCGATTAGAACAAGAGAAGACCAGGTCCTTGAATAATGATCATTTGATAAACAAACAAACGAATAGCAATGATAATATAAAATTATTATTGAATGAAGAAAATCTATCCCCTATAAACATCAATAAAGCGAATACATCACCAACACATCGAAAACCAGTAGATGAAGCAATTATTCAAGCATTTCAAAGACCTAGAAAGTGACCATTTTATGGTTTCTTTAGAAATAACTGACGTGACGTGAAAAGATAAGTAGTAAAGAAAAATATCAAGAAGAGATCAAAGCGATTACAACCTACCTATCTATAGAGTATGATCTATTCAAAAAAGGACAGTATTAATCATGAAAAAATGAATTATTTTTTACGTTTGTCTTGGAGAATTTTGATTTTATGATGTGCTGGAATTTTAATGTCGTCAACCAAGCGCATCTAAGTCTACACTTGTCGGTAGACTGGTATAGATTAGTATAGAACCTATCCACGCATGCTACCTTTTTGCTACTAAATATCAACATACTACAGAGCATGATCAGAATTTAAGTAAGTTCTTCTTCTTCAGTCCCGTCGTACCTTATGACTAAGTCATAAGGTACGACGGGACTGCAACCCCTGAAGAAACCGCGCTCACTTATGGATATGACCACTGGATAAAAGGGTCCCTAGGAAAACCACGTGCTTCAATCTGTACACTCAGGCAGTATCCTAGTCTTCTCACAAATATGATGTATAATTATGAGGTGCTATAATCGCTCCTCTAAGCTACATACTCAATGTTTTTATTACGTGTCGATTTTGGAAAGCATTAAACTCCTATTCCATTCTCTATTTATCTCTATCTCCAACTTACTCAGCAGTTCATCTACGTCGAAAGCTCCGTCCTGTCTAAGCGACTTCAATCTCCTAAGTCGTCGAAACCCTGAATGCTACCACCAAATACGGAATCTAAACCAGTTTTTCCGAAAGGTCACGTGCTGGCCTTCTCCAACATTCGTACACTGAAGCAGATAAGTTTGGCTATGCATTTGGAACTGCTAACATTGATGTTTGCAGTAGATCAGAGACCACCTGTCGATCGGAACAGTTTGCTTCACATTTCTTATAGGAGGAATCTGTGGTAACATTATCTGATTTGGTCGGCACTGATATCACACCAAGCACTGGAGCAGAGATGACAATAATCAAATGAATCTCCATTAATGGCCGTTTGTGCTTTCAGACTAGAAAGCTCAAAGTGAGTAAAATTCGGTGTTGTAAACGATGTATTTTCTCTACAGCCTACACCTTGACAGACTACAGTCCGAATGGAATCACAGGTCGATTCCATCACTCGTTAAATGACCTTCCCAAGAAAGTGCATGCGACAGACATTGTAATGCTAGTCAGACATTTGACTTTGAAAGTTGGAATTCCACTTACAGAGGAGAGTCGCTTAGGAGTCCAATGAGGACTCACCAGTCACAGACCAGATAATGGTGAAAGTCGCCTGTAGCTTTGTGTACACGACAACCGGTTTCTGACATGCACAAAATTTCGATACAGTCATTGCAGATTCGCTCTCTAGCACACTCCCTCCTTAAATAAGCATCCACTCAAACTGATCATTTCGCGAACAGCTACTCCTAGAGTGGCTGCTCACAAGACTTCCGTACCTTTTGGACTACTTATCTGGACTCTGATCATACCCCGGTTTCAGTTAATCTCATCTTACTTCTCAGTAACTATTAAATTTGTCGTTCTGACATGATAAACGAAAGTAAATTGACTGTAGCTTTCGTTGCAATTAAGTACCAAACCGAGATAGGTAAATTTCTAGCTGTTAACCTACCGAAAAGCATAAATGACCACAGGCTGCATTTGCATAACTCCATGAAAGTCAGTCAGTTACAACGTAGAACTTCGTACATACGTACATCAGTTCGAGTTGTCATACCACATTAGCACAGAGATGAAGTTGTTGAATCAGATCCTATATTGGTAGAAGTAGTAGGAGTGTAAGTATTATGTGGAAGATAAAAGATTGAAGATGTTATTGAAGGAGTATAATACAGTAAAATAAATTTGGAAAGAGAAAAAGGATAGTGACAGGAAGAATTCAAAAGATTAGAAAATACAAAGAGTCGATTCACCTTCCCCATTGCAAACGATTTTCAGCCATGCCATTCAAGGTCTCTAACCATCGGTTGATATCATCTAGCCAATCCCAACCAGGTAGTCTACACCTACCAACATGGCCCAGTCTACTTGTCAGAGAGTTCATGGATTTATTCCATGTTTTGGTCTGGCCACCCCTAGCTTTCTTCCAACCTACTCCTACACCATAAAGCATTGCACGTCGGTGGTTGGGCTGTGTCAGTCAGTCAGTCACAACGTAGAACTTCGTACGTACGTACATCAGTTCGAGTTGCCATAACACATTAGCACAGAGATGCAGTTGTTCATTCAAATCCCATAGTGGTATAACTAGTAAGAGTTTAAGCATTATGTGAAAGATTAGGGTTTGAAAACGTCATCCAGGGAGTATAATCCAGCGAAATAAATTTGGAAAGAGAAAGAGATAGAGACATAAAGAATTCAGATTAGAATTTCGCAGAATACAAAGAGTGGATGCACCTTCGCCATTGCAAACGATTTTCAGCCATGTCATTCAAGGTCTCTAACCATCGGTTGCTATCATCTAGCCAATCCCAACCAGGTAGTCTACACCTACCAACATGGCCCAGTCCACTCGCCAGAGACTTCATGGATTTATGCCATGTTTTGGTCCCTAGCTTTCTTACAACCTAGTCCTACAACATAAAACATTGCACGTCGGGGCAGTCGGTGGTTGGGCATACGTAACATATGTCCCAGCCATCTCAACCGATGAAGTCTCAACACTTCATTAGTCGACTTGCCATCCTTACCTAGTACCCGTTTCCTAACATCTGCATTACTTACACGGTGGTCCCAGGATATACGAGCAATGCGTCGAAGACACCTATGATCGAACACCAGTAGCCTACGAATATCCTCTACTCTTATCGGCCATGTTTCACTGCCATAAAGTAGGACGGAGCGAACTGCTGCACAGTAAACCCGTCCTTTGGTTGCTAGACGGAAATCTCGCCTATGCCATAAATGACGCAAGTTGGCGAAAGCTAGACGAGCCTTCTGTATCCATGCTGACATTTCGTCAAACACCAGACCACAAGGGCTGATGAGACTCCCAAGATAAGTGAAGCAGTCAACACGCTCAACTACTTCACTCCCTATCATTAGTTCAGGTGTCGCTGCAACCCAATCCTGAAGTAACATTTTGCACTTCGAGGGAGAGAATCGCATCCTGAACATGCATGTATTGTTGCTTATAGTGGTCAGAAGACTCTGCATTACCCGACCGTTGCTGCTACCTTGACGTGGTGGTCGGGCTTACCTGTCGTGATAAACCAATCGAGCTATACTGGCTGGAACAATCGTTACTCAAGGTCCTACCATACCAGACAGGTCGGTTGAAGAGCGGTAAGACTAAAAGCAGCAAACCCAGGGTTCGAAGGCGAAGTCGTACTGCCGACTGTACAGAGGTGTGACGGCAGTAAGGTGTTTCCTTCAGACAACCAGCATGACAGCGATGCTGCCTTCCCACAAGGAAGGGTGGGGTTAGAAAGGGTCGACCCTAAAAATGCACACCTCGCCTTAGCCCACGGATTTCCGTCTCCCGCTGTAAGGTCCTTTGAAGAACGGAGCTAAAGCATCAAAAACCCCCACAAAAATGCCGTGTGTGACCGGCCTCAGGCAGTTGTCCCTTGGGCACTGCGGTCACGCTCCCAGGTCGTTAAGACCAACACTAATCCAACTTCTTTTTCAGGTCCCTCAAGAAATACCCTTCCACGGTGTGGGCAGCCGGGAAGTGATATTAGCCCTCATACCCGTAACAGCACACGAGACCAAGTTGGTCACTTTCAAATCCTTCCTACACCTAATAACTCCATGAAAATGACGGGCAAAGTCACTTGCTGTTTGGTGAGACGTCCGATTTATAAATACTAGGTTTATACAAGTACCTCACAAGTCGTTAAGACACGTCAACCTATTGAAGCTAACGGGGAATTTCGGCATTAAAATACCGTCACACTTATCGCATTCCAACAGTTATGATTCCTCATATCATGATCGCCTCCGTCTAATTGAGGACTATAACCTGGGATTTTCTGTTCAAATAGGATGCGTCTGAGAAATTCATTAACATCTTGAAGGCTCACTTCACAAACATCTTAGACAGTAAGTGCATACAATTACGTTTTTCTACATTATCCCATTCCAGAAGCGGCTTAGGTATGATTGGTTAATCTCGTCATTCGCCTTCGACTTTGTCACTGATAACATTGTGAAGACAGCTCTGATGGGAATAGATAACGGAGGTAGTTTGTTGAAAAGACACATAATACACGTTCCAATCACCTTAGTTAATGAGGATTTACTACTTTACATATCGACATGTCATCTTTATCTAATACCCTGAGTCTATTATTTTCATTGCTCATTTGGTAGTCCCAACATACGTGAACAATTCTTTGAAAACACTTATGACTAGATGGTGTTAATTGATAAATACCTGCCTTAAAAAAACAACTCCAAACCATAAAGTAGGACAGGTCAAACTAATGTGAAGTTGGAAGACGGACATTTCACTTATAACGCAGGTATCACAAGTTGGAAGAGTCAAGGAGACCTTCTGAAAAACCGAAAGTGGAAAATTTGAGTAACCAACATCTCAAGACTGGATAAATCATTTACAAACGTGCGCCTTTTGACAGCTGAGTAAGCTGATTTATCTATCTCAACATTAGGTGAGTATTTCACGACTTTATATTCCACAAAAACAGTCAATTAAACTACATAAGCAACAGTCGTTTAAATGATATATAATCTCCCAAAAGTTGTTCAAAAATAATTTATTTATTAGGCCAATCTGCTAACGATATTAGTGAAAGTGACAGCTAAAGCTAATACACAAATATACACATATGCACATAACTATATACAGACTGATCTTAAGCCGGTGGAATCAATAAAAAACAAGTACAATACTTTTCACCCAATGAATTGAAATAACAAGATAATGATTGCGATGTCTGGACCAACTTGATATATAGGCCATTTTTAAGAGCAATGTTTAACTGTAAGATAATGAAGAGTTCTGATTATGTCAAAAGGATGAATTCAAAAACAAAGGTTGTCTTTAAAGAAGAAACAAAAGAAATGATGAACAGCAAGATCAGTAGGACGACAGAGTGTGTACATAAATTTATCAAAATGAAAGATCATGTGGCAAAAGTAAAAGAAACCGAATAAGTTGAGCTTGAAGTAAATTACACTGAATAAAAGGACACTTATTTAGCAAGTGTCAGTGTCGACTGTCTGCTTTGAATCCAAGTTATTCTGATCAACTAACGACACAAGATAAACTAAATTACGTTGAAGAACGGCCTGGAGTTGGACCGATTCACGGAATCGACCTTTTCTAGCAAGGTCAGCAACTAATTCGATGATATGTTCATTCTCATCTAAAAGCTAAGAGCTTGAGGAATGACAATTTATGAGCACTTACGCGCTTGGCACTTGTTGCTTCATGAGCGATTACGTATCTAGAGCTATTTTGCGCAAAAGCTCCAGACATTTCTGTTTATTGGGAAATTGGAACGCACAGATATAATCAAGTTAATGCTATTAAAAAACCTACATTAAAAAAACAAAAACATGGTTCTCAATTATTTGAGATCTATAACCAAAAAAAAACAGGCTTTCGAGCGGCGATAAAGTGACCTTGGAAGTGTCCATCTATTTACTAGAGCTAGGTGAGGGTTGTAAACTAATGCGAGAAATTAGGGTTATGATTTGCAGTTGATGGTTAGAGTTAGGAGTTAGACTGGGTTTTTCATCACCAACTTTCGTCATCTAAAATGTTGAAGCTCCACTTAGACGAATGGATGAACGAATTCCACACCGAACCCAAAACCTATTATCCTAAATCCAATCGGTTTGTCTATAAATTATGGTCACATCGAAAAATCCTTAGACACCCTGACAAAACTCATCACCTTGAAGTGTCTGAGTATGCTTTTTTTCCATACCTGACAAGTATGATAAACATAGAATCGGATGAAAAAATATCAATCACTTTTGGGATAATTAACAATAAACTAAAATGAAAAAAACAGCAATTACAATTCTGGATCATGAAGTGAAAAGCCTTCAGATTGAACTCTACCTGCACAAAAAAGTCAGCGGCGTAATTGGGAAGAAAAGAGCGCTAACAAATTTACTATGTATAACATTCGGATTATAGCCTACACCGATCGCCTGATTTCGGGGGAAGTCTCATCAGCTTTAGGGAAGCCATAGTAGAAAAAAGACCGAATAAATAGTAAAAAATCCTGAAATTCGAAGAAAACTACGAATATTTATACGACTTTGAGGAAAACCCCCAAAATAGGGGGACTGGGGCTAAGCTACAACACATAATACTATGGAGTCATTGTATTCAAACCCTCGATGCCGTAAATAACACCCCTGTAGCCGTTCATACAGGCAAATCCAATAGGAAAATTTTTAGATTACAACCAAATCCTATCTTATAGTTAGGAATATCACCCAGCTAGTTGTCCCATAAATTTGCTTATTTACTTAAAGTACTTCATCCTTCTAGCTTTGTCGAAATACTACAATATAAATGGCACCTTATTCAATGATTTTGAGGAGTGTGAAGTATGGTTGAGAATGACTTTTATGGATCACACTTATATAGCTAAACACCATTACGTCGAAAGTAACGCGCGATTTAAAATGCGGTTTTTCTTGATTTCCCGATACAACTTTCAATATTACACTGGCAATGAAAATATCAGTCTCAGTAGTAAATATAAGAAATTTAACGAACTTTATCGATCCTTGCTGTTTGTAGTGCTTCACAGATTTAGTCTCGCTTTTAATTTATGAAAAAGTGCTGATATTGCATATCCTGGTGAAAAGATTCGTCAATTCACTAATCACATTCAGATTTGTACAGTAGGCACAGAAGGCCTACGGCATAAGCCAGTCCTTTCTTAAGAAACTTTTGAAAGTGTTGAAGATACCACAGGTATTGTAGTTTGACAACACTTTACCAGTAACATACATGATTGAATCGCACCCACCCAGTTAAAATCAGAAGTCAGAAGCGAGGAGGTTGGAAGATATATTTGATGGGATATCAATATATGAAGAAGTGACCGATCTAATCTGGCTAATGATCGTAGGAGATGTTGCGCACACCGTTCCAAAACATGATCTGGTACGGATGCCTGACCGAACGCCTTCAGCTAAATGAGTCCACTAAAACTAATGTGGTCAGCACCGTTTGTTGAACACACATAGAGCTATTGACTTTTGGGATTTATTTACAGGTACAGATCACTTCCTCCTAGTGAGGTAGTGATGACCCTTTGGCGTGACCAGCCAGTAGTTTAAACCCAATGAGTTTGTCGTTGGTAAACACTCTTCTGATAGTTTGCTCCAGCCGTCCTGGAAAAGAAAGAAAAATCGAAAGTGTGAGTGCATGTCGAAATACACTCGTACTTGCGCAAAGACACAAGGTGAGCGGAACAATGGTAAATAAACTAACACGCTTGCGCCAGCGTAAAAGCGATTCAAAAAATTGTTTTATTTTTCTTTTCTAAAAAAAGTAAAAACTCTTATCAGTAAAAAAAATTTTTTGGAATAGATATTCAAAAATGAGCACATTAAACTTTTTCTATGATATGTAGGGCAAGCAAAAATCGGGATAAAGCTTGTGCCTTACGTGCAATAGTCGTTCAAATGTTCTGGAAATCTTACTCTGCTTCTAGAACGCATTAACCTAAGTTTATTTTCAGGCGCTGATGAAGTATCAACGCACGTGTCGGCTGTCGGACGGGGTACTACAAGTATAGGAGCCGTGTCGTTCGATTGAACCGAAGGAAAATCGACGTGGGTAAGATTTCCACTTTAATGCGCCGCTTTGTGGCGATCGATGCTGATGCTGTCGTTAGTGCCGTTCTTATTGACTACATAGTATTGAGGTTCGTGCTGAAGAACTTTGAAGGGTCTTTCGTATGCTGATTCGAGGGGTCGTCGATGTGAGTCTCGACGTACGAAGACATGTGTATTATATCGTAAGTCAGTTTGAACGAAGACATCCGTTGATTGAGGTTAAGTAGAACACGTTTGACTAAACGCATTGTGTTTTTAAGCCTGCTCGTGTAGGGGTTTAGATCCAAGTTCATTGAAGAAGACGAAGGATCCACGAGTTCTCCTGGAAGTCGGAGTGTCGTTCCATAAACCAGTTGTGCTGCGTAGAATTCAATATCAGCTTTCGCTGCATTGAAAATACCTAATAAGACGAGTGGAAAAGCGTCCGTCCACTGTGAAAAGTTTGCAATTGATAGCGAAGCATTTAGTTGTCGGTATAAGCGTTCTACCATCCCGTTCGCTTGAGGGTGGTAGGCGGTCGTTCGGAAGCGAGTGATTCCTAATAGTGTGGCCAGACAACGGAAAAGTCCAGATTCACTCTGGTGTCCGCGGTCTGTAGTGATGGTTGAAGGGTAGCCGGAATTTGCTACTGATCGTTCGACGAATGGGCGAGCCACTGTTTCAGCAGTAATATCCTTAATAGGTGCTGCTTCTGACCATCGTGTGAAACGGTCTACACAGGTTAAAAGATAAGAGCATCCATTCGAATCTGGTAAAGGTCTTACCAAACCCAGATGAACGTGATCGAAACGAGCATCAGGGGTTTTGAAAGAGCCTAAGGGACATTTGTTGTGTCTAAAGACCTTAGATTTCTGGCAGCTCACACAGGAGCGTGCACACTCCCTTACGTCTTTATTCATACCAGGCCAGCAAAACCGTTCGGCTATGAGCTTGATGGATGCACGAACACCTGGATGAGAAGTTTGTGCAACGTATTGAAGACGTTGCGTCGATAACGTTCGGCACGATTGGGCGATCCCTACCTGAAGATCAGTGTCTTCTTTTTGAAGCCGGGTAAGTTTAAGAAGGTTGATGCCTTGGTAACTGTTCAAGGAACTTATACAAGACAAGTCGTCTGCAACTACATTGTTTGCTCCATAAATATGTTGTACATCTGTAGTAAACTGCGAAATGTAGTCCAGTTTTCGAGACTCAAGAGGTGAGCACTTGTCTGAAGATGAGCTTAAAGAGAAAGTAAGAGGTTTATGATCAGTAAAGAGTGTAAATTCTCTGCATTCGATATAGTGTTGAAAATGTCGTACAGCACAGTACATAGCTAGGAGTTCCCTACCAAAAGTGCTGTACCTAGATTCAGTGTCTAGCAATCGTCTGGAGAAAAATCTTAAAGGTTGCCTAGATTTGTTTACCCGTTGTTGTAAAATTCCTCCGATTGCTGAGTCGGATGAGTCTACTGCGATACTAATGGGTGCTTGAGTGTTCTGATGCGCCTTCACGGTTGCATTTGCGATAAGTTCCTTAACTGTGGAGAAAGCTTTTCACGCGATGTCGTCCAGATTAATGGACTTTGCATTTCCACGGAGTTGGTCGGTTAACGATTTCATAAGGGATGCATATTTCGGTATGAACCGTCTAGAGGGATTTGGTCATAGGCTTTAAGTTGCTTTTCAAAAAGACAGTTGTGCCTTTCAACTTAGCTGTCAAATCGTGAATGTGAGGCAACGGGTAACGATCGGGAATGGTTTTAGCATTCAGACGCCGATGATCACCAGTTGGACGCCAATCGTTGCTGTCCTTTTTAGAGACCGTGTGCAAGGGAGATTACCATGGGCTGTCTGACGGTTGAGTAATTCCTAAATCATGATATCGAATTCGTTTTTAGCCAACCTAAGCTTTTCGGGAGCCAGTCGTCGTGCTTTTGAGAATACAGGTGGTCCTGTAGTCGTGATGTGATGTATAACATTGCTGGTTACACTCGGCAATTTCGGTTGCGGTTGATATATCTTAGAATACCTATCCAGGTATGGTTGATATAAGGGGTCTATGGTGTACTTAATTGTTACTGGAGATAATTTGCAACCAGATAAAGGAGCTACGTAGACAGATAAACTTAGTGATTCTGTCTACTAACCTTCGTTTGCGTGTATCAATGGGTAGATCGTGGTGTTTTAGCAGGTCTTTACCGATGATTCGCATAGAAACATCTACAACCACGAAAATCAAGTGGATGGGTTTGCGTAAACCCACGTTCAGGTAGTGTTATAACTTTACAAAAATAATCAAAGGACTTATGACAAATCGTTATCGATTTTATGTCTAGCTTCTATCACGTGAACTATACACCAATGGAAATACGACTTTTCCGACCTTAACACTGTGACAATGACGTTCGATCAGTATGAGTAATCTAGCGTCCTTATTGGTCCTTTATCCGCCTAGCCCTTCCACTTGAGTCCAGAACACCAATGACAGCCTCTGTTATGCGAATCGTTTATTTCAAACATACTCTGTTTATATACCGGACAGACAGACCACATCACACCATAAAATAGAAAATAATATTTGTACAGGATCAGGCCAAATGTGGCTGTGAACGTGGGAGACAGTAATCAATATACTGAGTATAATTTAGGAACAGTAAATCGTATAACAATAATCAATAGGTCAACATGAAACTTATAATAAGATGAATTTAGATATACACAATCTAGTTACTCAATAGTAATACAATCAGAATATGCGTAGAATAATAGTTCAATAATAGGTCCCGTAAGTTATCCGTACTTATGTCTTCGCTAGGATATAACAATAACAAATTATAAAATTTCTACGCAATGAAATCTTAAATAAAAACTAAATAACAGACATACTTTGTAATCTCCATGACTTTTCAATTGACTTTAATTCCTTTTCCAATTCTTCAGGATCATTTTTTGATGCTCTGTAATATGGGATAATGAATTCAATGAAAAGTGAGTTAAAAAATGCTTATTTTGTTTGAAAATTAAAAAAAAGTATTTGGTTTGAACCCAAAAAAAGATTATAAACAATACTTGGGTTTCGACTATCATGTTATGAAGTAATAAACTATTGTCCTGGAAGGCCAACAAATGCCCTGGTACATAATCTAGTTTCTGAATAGTTATAAAATAATCGTACAATAATAGGTCCTGGGAGTTACTCGTACTTATGTATTCACTTGGATATGACAGGTAGACGTACCTTTTTCCATATGTAGTGATTGTCTTTCCATTTATCGCCTGCAAGCTTAAAACAGATTCATGAATCCTGTCGTTAGAAATCGCAGAAAGAACGCTAACTTCTGCAGGAGTATCGACGGAGAAGCGATCTTTCGTGGTCACATCTGTGATGTATAAAAGGCGGATATGTTCACCGGCTACGATTAACGTTAACGCGTGCCGGCTGGGAAGTTTATCGAAATGCTTTTCGTGTCGGTGGATTCGGAGTTCGAATAATTGCAGGGTTTTCTGCAATCGCTTGAAGAGTTTCCATGCTGATTATGGTACCAGAACCAGTCGAAGTTATCTATTTCTCATCGTCTGGAGTCAGATCGCCTACGTGAAGTGCTTCTTCGAGGGGTTTGTGACCGTTTACGGTCATTACGTAACCCAAGGAGATGTGTTAGTGTATGACATAGGTCCGAAATGTCATTCTGTTTCTCTTGAGGTTTTTCTTGGACTGAGAAGACCTCAGCGTTAGAGGCCTCCGTGATTTCAAGTATGCGGTTGGCAGATGCAGGCAGCTCGTCTATGGCCTTGTTTTGAAACAAGACGAGAACTGGTTGCACCTGTTGCTGAAGTTTAGATAAGAAAGTTGTTTG